GCTTCACCAGAAAACACATTGAAAATTTATAGAACATACATTACACCAATCGTAGAATATGCCTGTATAACATGGATCAATGTTTCAAAACTACACATCAATAAACTACAGCAAATATAAAACTATATTTTAACGAAAGCTTATAGAGTCCCACGATCAAGAAACTCAAATAATTCTACACAGCTATTCAAACATGCCAACTCTATCAGACAGACTCCTGGATAACTCGCTTCGATATTATAAGAAAAATATTAATAAAAATGAACTGATGAGCAAACTAGAGAGTTACATAATACGTGATGAACCAAGCCCTAAATACCTCTCCTTTCTAAACATCATAAATAAGAAATTTACAGGCCAAACAGCGCTAGGATAACCGTATCCTAGACACAAACGTAACTCTGTTTTGAAAGGGTTAGCATGTTAAAATAGAGTTACATAGGCGAGTATATGACTGCTAAGTGGAACTATATTGTGAACACCGACTAATAGTGTGATCATACATAAGTGAAGCTAGTAAAAATATACGAGTTAATATTAACCCATGAATTGGACGTATCACGCAAAGGGTATGTTAATTAAAACTGCGGACAAAGGACAAAATGTAACATACTGTGAGTAATGTAACAAGGTAACAAGAGCTATTACCTAGGATTCAGTAACAGTAAAAACAAAATAACAATTCCAGAAAAGGAGGAAGAGGTCTACGCTGAACCTGACCCTCCCTGGTCCAAAACATGGACCGAATCCCGATGAAGATGATGATGATTGAGTATCCTGTATAGAATTGAACCTAGTAATTAGTTGACGTTAGTAATGTTTTACAAAGGCAGTTTAAAGCTTTTGTGATGCAAAAATGTTTGTCACTTAACGATATTGATACTAGGAATGTCAGCACCATCTCGTTACGAAAAAAAATTGATATATCCCTTAAGAATTACTATTGTTATGATTTAAAATGTAGAATGTTTGAATGTCGCGGTATGATCAACAGCCTGGAGTAAAAACTCTCAAGTTACTAGTTAACGTATTTTCCAATGTGATTAATTCGTGATTATTCCTGATATAAATTTTGTGTACATCATACCTGATGTGTTAAAAAAAACAACAACTGAATTGTTGGTCTAACAATTTCTTTCGGCCAGGTGGTTAGGGCGCTTGACTCGCAATCTGAGGGTCGCGGGTTCGAATCTCCGTCTTACCAAACACCTTTCAGCCGTAGGGGCGTTATAATGTGACGGTCAATCCCACTATTCGTAGCCCAAGAGAAGCCCAAGAGATGGGCGGTGGGTGTTGATGACTAGCTAGCTGTCTTCCCTCTAGTCTTTCACTGCTAAATTAGGAACTGCTAGCGAAGATAGTCCACGTATAACTTTGCGCGAAATACAAAACCATTTGTATTCTACCTGCGCTGTCTGGGATTTAGGGAATCACAGATTGTTACATTGTATAACTCTGTATACTTTTGATCCTTCTTATTTGTTTGTGTGTGTGTTTGTTGCTTAATAAGCACAAAGCTACCCAGTGAGCTATCTGTACTGTGCCCATAGTGAGTATTGAAACTCGATTTTTAGAATTATAAACCCTCAGAATTGCCGCTGAGGCACCGGAGGGCGTGTTATTTATCACATAGAATGAGCCTATATAAGGCATTTTAGTGTTCGCATAATAATGGATTCAGAAATAACTCTAGGAGAAACTTATGTTTTCCAACAACTGAAAATGTAAAACTTTAGTTTGAAGACAAAGTAAACAGAAATAGCAAATGAAAAGAACTAATTAAAAATAATAATAAGCAAATATTAAATGAAAATATAAATCTAGTAATAGATTGTACTTAAAATTGTAAGAATTAAAACAAAAATTAGTTGCTTTTAAACACACACAAGAAATTTCAGTTTTAACACATAACGTTTCGCCATTAGGCGTACATCAGATGCTAATGCTATACAAAGAGATACAAACCCTATCCATGTGAAATGACTCGTCATGTAAGATGGGTGACTCATCTTCTATGTTGCAAGACTCAATATTCATGTCAAGCAGCTCGCAGTTAGAACCTAATGAGTCGTTATACGAGTCAGGCGATTCACCATCAGTTTGTTTGTTTGAAGTTAAGCACAAAGCTACACAATGGGCTATCTGTGCTCTGCCCACCACGGGTATCGAAACCCGGTTTCTAGCGTTGTAAGTCCGCAGACATAACGCTGTGCCACTTGGCTCAGCCTCAGCTTCCTAAATATTTTAGTGCATAGTAACATTTTCTTTCTGGACTAAAAGAAACCTAAAATAAATAATAAATTATTTGGGCTTCGCAATAGATTTTGTAATGAGAGAATTATCATTGTGGTTACTTTTAAATTCAAAATTTGTTGCCAGAATTATTTCTTTTGTATGTTTTAATGAGTGAGAATCAAATATATGCTGCGTATACGTACAATGTAGAAAATGCATTGCCTTATTCAGCAAATTTATAGATTATTCATACTTTAATTTGTTTCTTTATTTGAAATGTGCTCATATCCATCATTCTTTCACACGTCTGTTTGAGACCTAGCCATCTTGCACATCAGTAACACCCCTTTACTTCGAGTCATTTGTGCACATCAGTAACAGCACTTTACTTCGAATTATTGTGCACATCAGTAACACCACTTCACTTCGAATAATTGGGCACATCAGTAACACCACTTTACTTCGTGTGATTGTGCACATCAGTAACAGCACTTTACTTCGTATGATTGTGCACATCAGTAACAGCACTTTACTTCGTA